ATCTGATAAAGAATACATTTATATACATGTTAAAGCCAGAATGAGTTGACATTTAAATATGATTTGCCCACGACTTTAAGACCAAAAACAAACAAAAAGCGACTGGACTCCAAAGTGAGACAAACTTTAGGCGAAAGACGTCAAATGATCTGATTATAGCGGCTGAGGAATTCAGCTTTCAGTATTTCACTAAGAACACACACCTACTGGGACCACTGGTGTGTGTGTGTGTGTCCGACACACTGCTGTCTTAATCCTATTAGTCCAGAGCTGCTCTAATCCAACAGGCGGGGCCCCTGCTCTACCTGAGGCCAGCAGTCCGAGCAGCCGGGGCCTGATTAACGCCGCCAGACACTCCTGCGTAGCTCATCCATCACTCTCGATGATGTTTTACTGTCTGACTGTAGATCTGAATACAGAGCGGCGTAACCTTCGTCACCACACAGTGGCTCCTTAGAGGGGTGGTTTGGAAAGGGGACGTGAACAACAGAGGGATTTAGCAGAGGTCCAACTCTACAGCGGGGCCTCAAACATTTGCACAACTGGCTTACGCACCACGAGACCTCTCATTTAAACAAAGGCTTTTTGATCCAGGGGCCCCGTGGCACAGACCCAGGTGGACGAAAGCGTCATGGAAAAGTTAACTGGGTGGGTGTGGTGTTTTCTGTGTGGATGGCACGGCCTCCGCTCTTCTGTCAGGGGTGGGCAATACCGGTTCCTGGGGGCCAGTGTCCTGCAACTTTTAGATCCATCCTTGGTCCATCACACCTGAATGAAATGGTTGATTTACCTCCTCAGGATGCAGTCATTTCCTCCAGAGTCCTCTCAATCATCTTATTACTTGATGCATCTAAAGGTTGCATCTAAAAGTTGCAGGATAGCGGCCTTCAGGAACTGGATTCACACACCTTTGATCTAGTTTGTTTCTTTTCTTTCTGACGTATAAACCAGCGTTCCTCTGTTCCTCAGAGGTTAAGCTCTTCATTCTGGCTCTCTAAGCTGATTAACTGGCTATTTGATGCCGAGGTCTCCTGCTTTAGTAGAGCTGCTGACCACAGATGCTAACGTCTGTTAAAAGGTTAAAAAGAGTAAAAATCTGTCCTGTGAGAGCACAAACACTTTTGATAAATTCAAACAATGACGACATGTTTTACAAATTGTTTGCTCATTGACCGGGTTTGGGATTAAGTATGAATTTGTGTTTAACAACCTTGTTTCTAAGTATTTTG